AATAATAATTAATAAATAGAAATACTTAATTATATTATTATTTGAAAATATATTTACATACCAATTATAGACAAGAAAATAAAGAGCTTCATCATTTATAATTGAATTATTATAGATATGACAAAAACTAATTAACTTTAAAACTGTTATTAGACGTAAGAGCACTAACTATTATATGTATTTTAATGCCAGTTATATAAAGTGTAATATAAAACATTTTGTTTACTTTAATTAAAATTTTAATTAAAAAAGTAATTTAATTTCAAATTATTGATCACTCAAATAAACCATAAGATGTCACTCAAATAATGTAATAAAACAGTCAATATATTTTACACATGCGGTTTTTTGAATAACCTATAAGAGAGAACCCTATTCTTTAATTTCAATTCATGATACTTTATATATAAATCATGAAGTATTAATATTTTTAACTCATATATTGTTAGTAATGCTTATGATAAATTAATTAAGAATTTTAATTTTAATTGCAATTAATGTGTCGTGAATATGAAACAGTCACTCCGAGTACATTTCCACAAACACATCATGATGAGTCTGATGGGCTACCTGTCCAATCAGCGCTCTCTTCGAACAGCTCATATCATACGATATGAGTCTATTATACTCATTGCCTATTGATTACCTTTATGTCATACATTGGGTATATAAGACTCCCTTTTCTATGTATACTTCGCAGTCATTCTCAAGTCCTCTTCGAAAGCATTTCTCTCTAATTTACTCTCTATTAATAAAGTTATTGTTTGTTAGTTGTGTACGAAGTGTACCCTTTATTGTCCACTACTTGTGGTTACGATAGCAGGCGATCGCGCGGATCAACTTTATAACAAATCTAACAGTGTAAAACAACAATTAAGCCTACTTAAACATAGTATGATATCCGTTGGTAATAATTTTAACGAATACGTTTACCACAAATAAATTTTAAAAACATAAATGCAAAAATATCAAAATGCAAAAATAAAATAAATTTTTTATTATAAATTACTGCATGTTAATCAGTAGATAAACTGTTAATATACAAAATAATTAGTAATTTGCATAAAATCTGATTAAAGCGCTGAGTCCAAATACTTTGTGAGTAATTTAGCCATCAACACGACAAACGATTTATATGTTCCATCCGGGTAGGACTCTTTCATCTCGCACTTTGTGTCCACCTTTACTCCCAACACGTGTTCAGTTCGGTTCAATACTGCCGGATAGACGTCAATACGTTTGTGTGAGAACTCCCTGAACCCATCTAGGTCATCGTGCATATCAATCACTTTAGCCCAGAAGTCACGGCCAATGCTGTAATTGTATTGATTGGTTTAAGGATATTATTAAAAATTTTTATTTGTTATTATAGAATGTACCTTATTTTACATGTTTTACATTCAGAACATTTACATACAGACCATGTATTTTACAATCACCTTTATTATCATTGTGTATAGATGGGCATAATTTGAGCATTTTATAGAAATAATATAAAAATAAATTATACACATACGTGCATAACTCCAATAGACTCCAATAGATAAGTGCATATATTTCGAAAACCGCTAAAGCAATGGATTAGCTGTCTTCACGGATCTATTACCAGATAATTCACGCTTAACAACTCCATTGACACAACAGATCTATCGAGCATGGTTTTTGAGCAAGGTGACGTTAATGTAAAAATTACACTTTAAAAAAGTCCATAGAGATTAATGTTAATTTGATAAAAATCGATTATTCACCAATAAAGCAACCGTTTGGGAGCGATTTGGGGGCGATTTTGGTTGTTTTCATAGATATTAAAGTGTAATGCAAAATATGTTTGCTTACAAATAGGTCTGTTAGCGTTACCCAAGAGACACCGAACACGGAGGTAGACCTTTGTCTCTCACTATTTTGCAAAGGGTAAAGTTCAATGTTAATGGGTAAAATGCCAAAAAATTTATATTAAAAAATTTTATTTATTTTTTAATTTGCGAAATTAATTATCATCGTAAGCATAATAAAAATTGATATAACTGATGTTTAGTAATGACGTTATTCACTATACAAAACGTACATAACTGATACTAAAGAGGTCGTCTTACTTTGAGTTCGATATTAAAAAATTCAACCAAGAATGTTTTCAAAACATTCTGTTAGTCATTCAATAACAAAATGTGGAAAAATTAATTTCTAAATTCTAAACATTTTTGAACAAGATCATATTTCATCATTAAACTACGGATGTGATTATCTCGAAAACTATATGAGATAATTAAAAAATTCTTTCACAGCCTGATCAAGTGTTTAAATAACAATTAAAAATACAATTAAATACTACTATGACTAATGAATAATGAATGACAAACAACTATTAAATGTTTCAAACTGAAATTAAAGTACTTTATCAACGGAATCTCAATATTAAACTAGGGTGTTTTTTGCAGCTTTACTAAATCTACAACAGAATCTGAAGAGAAACTTGAGATTTTTTTGATAATACCGAGTTTTTTGACAATAAATTAATTTTCATAAAAATGGAAATTAGAACATATGTAGAACACATTTGAGCGATATAAATAATTATTGAAATTTTAAAAATTTGACCTAGGATAATAATTTTTTTAATATTTCATCATTGTCGTATATGCTTACATCATGATAAAAATTAAATTAAAATATGGCCACTTTTGTTAAACTTAAGACAACCTCTTTCTCAATTTGGATATAACTTTTATCACTTATGTCAGATTTGAGAAATTCGTTCGGATTTCAATTCTACTCTTTAATACCTTTCTATTGATATATAATATGATATGGTTATTTACCGATAAAAGTGGTCATTGCGGCCAAACCCGAGGTTACTTTACCATATGAAGTATACCACTAGACTCTGTAGATCAAGTACTTTCAGTATATAAAATATCTCTTGCGTGCAAGCTATCCCACTTTTGAACATACCCCTTTGAAGCCATTTTGTTCACAATGTGTTGTTTTTGAAATGAAAGCACAGTGTGTTGTGTTTGTGTGCGTTCACAACATTCACATGCGCTCTGCTATGTTTGATCATAAACGCACATAAATTACGTTATACTTTAATATATAGTTTTAAAAAATCCGCGGTTGCTCTATTCACCAATAAACTCTATGAACTGTTAATCACTATTAGCTATTTTTATAGCTTAACTTTTACTTTAACTACATCTTGCTCAAAAACCTTGCTCGATAGATCTGTTGTGTCAATGGAGTTTTTAAACGTGAATTATCTGGTAATAGATCCGTGAAGACAGCTAATCCATTGCTTTAGCGGTTTTCGAGATATATGCACTTATCTATTGGAGATTATAAAGTCTTCAAGCGTATATACAGTACTTTTATCAATGTTTAGTCAAACATTCTGTTACAATATGGGAGAGAGATATAGAGTTAAACCAACTAACTCCAAATAAAATGTTAGTGAAAAAGGTAAAATAGTAAATAAAATAACTATATATAGTGATGATTATTTATAGAGCAACAGGGCACAACATATACTGTAGAATGTCCAGATAAACAAGTAAAAGTACAGGGTGGAGATTAATCAACTATGTAAAAGTAAACTCGAATATCTCGAAAAGTATTTTATCTAAAAATTCAAATGATATATCAAAATAATCATCAACTGCGGGAGTTTTTGTAATGATAATGTCAATACGATTGGCCTATTATTTTAGAAATAATCTCAAATCAATGTAGACATCTTGCTTATAAGTAATAAGTTATTACACTATAATTCTATATCAACTAGTATGCCTGATAACGGATCCCAATGGCCAGTATTTGGTATGTATTTGATAAAATGTTAACTTGAAATTGTGGAAACGTCATGGGCAATCCCCAGGATTTAAGGGATTTTTGTTGTAATCATTACTTTAATAAAAATTTAAAGTCAATGAATTGCAATGGGTAAAAATGGTCCATTATTTGACTTAGATTTAAAAGGAGTCCATTTAAACGCGTCTCAATTAATCCCGACGGGAGTGATATGGTTATGACCAGAACAATGCAATTCAAAACATGCGAATGGCCATAAACACCGGAGTTATGGACATATCTGTAACCGCAAGCATAGGGCTCAATGCATTACAATTTTGATGAATGATATTACTCATGTTAAAAGCAAGTTTTCAATGCATTGAACCCTATGCCTGCGGTTACAGATATGTCCATAACTCCGGTGTTAATGGCCATTCGCATGTTTTGAATCAAGTTTTGAAGTCTTCTCATTGTTCTGGTCATAACCATATCACTCCCGTCGGGATTAATTGAGACGCGTTTAAATGGACTCCTACTTAGAATAGTTTGTTTTGATTAAAATTCATATCTTATTTATATATTAATTTATATATAAAAATAGCAAACAAATCCATACCATACAATTTCGCCCATGTTAATTCTTGACTGTTTTGTAGCATCGTTTAGGTATCCAAGGAAACGATCACGTAATTTTTTAGTCTCGACCAGTTTAGCGTTTATAATTGGAGTGTATTTCAACATTTTGTCATCGGGCAGTTTGCAGAACAAGTTAACCTTCTCATAGAATTGAATAGTAGGACTCTCCAGCATCACTTCCCGGATTTTTGGTTTGAGGTAACCTGCCCATTTCAAGCCGGTTACTACATCACAGAAACTGCAATGTATAATTAAATTACAATTGATCAAACATGTAATATTATTTATTATGGAAATACTTGTTAACAGCACCCGTCGACGTCTACCACCCCCTAATCGTTACATTTATAATTTTAAAATATTCTCACTCTGATTAACCAAACATACATTTAATATTACATGTAATATACATGTAAACAACTGTACCTTAACATTAAACATTTTGGGCAGGCATTGATAGAATTAAATGTGATAAAATTATTTATTATACAATTCTATTCATTAGATCTCATTAGTACTATATTGTTGATTATGTCCTTGGCATTTTAATTGGAATGTTTTAAATTATAATAAAAATTACTGGCAAGTTAGAATTGGGATAAGAATAAATAAAATATAGCATGTAGATTTAACATTTTGAACAATGTCAGCCAGAGACATTATGATCCTGTTCAAACTATTCCAAATCGAGTATATTCATTTATGATCGTTTACATATAAATTAAATGTTAATCAAGCATTTGATTTTACGGATGTTATTTTTTAATTTGTAAAATATATATTTAATAAAATACAATGACTACTCACAGTCTACCCGTGCCTTTAGTATCGCCCAATTCATTGCACTTCTCTTTAATGATTTCCAACTTTTCCGGTGCTTCGACTCCATTGCCATATCTCTCATACTTTGTGGATATGATATCAATGGCCGTCTCTTCCTCTTCCTGTCCACAATATATCACACCTAAGAGTCATATCATTATATTTTAAACATGCAAATTGTTAGCAAATCTATGACCCAAGTTAGATCTAACCCACCCTTCATTTTACATTAACTAACGTTAAAAATTTAACCCAACATTTGTGTTTTTAGCAGTATTGTAAGATAATGTTATTTATAAGTTTATCTAACTAATATATTACTTTTTAATAATTAATGCTATTTATAAACTCATTTTTGTAATTTAATATATACTTTACATACTGTATTATCAACAAAATACCACCATTTGAGTGGCCTTATTAATACATATTAATTAAGTATTTTATAAAAATATCCAATTGTATTTGTATAAATAATATAAAATATACTTACATAGCAATTATAAACAACAAAATAATTAGCTTCATCACTAATAATTGAATTATTATAGATATAGTAAACAAACTTTATATAGAAAACAACAAGAAATGTTAATAAACTTAAAAGCATAAACTATTATATGGAAAGTTTTAGTTTAATGCCAGTTGTGTAAATTGTAATATAAAATATTTAGTTTAATTTAATTAAACAAAAATGCGTTAATTTTATAAATTAATTAAATTTAAATAAAACTCATTTATTTTCAGATTATTAATCACTCATATAAATCATACGAAGTCATGTCTATATAATGAAATAAGGGTCTCAATTAACCCATGCGGTTTTAAACTAAAATTTTGTAATTTCTAACACTAACAATAGTATAATATCCTCTGGTCATAATATTAACTGATACATTTAACACAAATAAATAATAAAATAAATGCAAAAATATCAGAATGCAAAAATAACAAATTAATAAAACAATTATTTTATTACATATTATGTTAATCAGTGTATAAACTCTTAATATACAACATAACTAGTAATTTGTATAAAATTTGATTAAACGGCTGAATCCAAATACTTTTCAACTAATTTAGCAATCAACACGGTATACGATTTATATGTTCCTTCCGGGTAGGATTCTTTCATCTCGCACTTTGTGACCACCTTTACGCCCAACATGTGCTCCGTTCGGTTCAGTACTTCCGGATATATTTCCACACGTTTGTGTGAGAACTCCCTGAACCCATCGATGTCGTCGTGCATATCAATCACTTTAGCCCAGAAGTCACGGCCAACGCTGTAATTGTTTTATTTGTTTAAACAGATTATGAAAATTGTTATTGTATTGTATTTTACAATCACTCTTATTATCATAGTCTATAGATGTACACAATTTGTGCATTTTATTTAAAGTTATACATGTATAAATTTTTATCAATGTATCTATTAAGATAGATAACTAAAGCATTGATTTGAAGTTAAATAACTTTTTGTTCCGAAAGCGGAGAACCTCCTGAAAGTTTGGGGGCATACCATATACCCCCTTAGGAGTATTTTGGAAGATTTTTATTTCACCTTTTTAGCACCTTTTGAGACGTTAGCACCTTTAGTAACTTTAAAGTAACTTTTCGCCTATTTTGCAAATTTTATACGTTATTAATTGATAAATCATAAAATACTCAATGAGTCAAAAATTAAAATAGGTTTAAAATGATAATAAAATTTTTATGTAATAGGTTTTAGTCATAATTGGCATTTCATTAAACGTTTTTCGATTTATAAAAAGTTGTTAAACGATAGACTAATGAATTTCGAAACCGACAAACCTCAAATAATACTTTGTGATATCATTTAATTCAAATACGAATGTTATTGACCTTTAAATACATTATTTTGGTGCAAAATAAATAACTTTTTCATAACTTATTATCACCTTTTAAGCACCTTTTAAGCACCTTTTTAGCCATTTTTTAGTAACTTTTATAGTGACTTTAAGACTGGTTTTTGTCACCTAAAAGTCAATGCTTTATAGATAACAAATCCATACCATATTATTTCGCCCATGTTAATTCTCGCCTGTTTCAAAGCATCGTTTAGGTATCCAATGAAACGGTCGCGTAGTGTTTTAGTATCGGCCAGTTTAGCGTTTATAATGGGTGTGTATTTCAGCATTTTGTCCTCGGGCAGTTTGCAAAAAATGTTGACTTTCTCATAGAATTGAATGTTGGGACTCGCTAGAATAACTTCCCGGATTTTAGGTTTGAGATAACCTGCCCATTTCAAGCCGGTTACTATATCCCAGAAACTGCAATATATAATTAAATTACTCATTATATTGTAATATTATTTATTCTAGTATTAATATTATTTTCTAGGACCTGCCATTAACATTTGTACATCAATTTAATTAAATACAATGACTACTTACAGTTTACCCGTGCCCATAGCATTGCCCAATTCATCGCATCTCTCTTTAATGATTTCCAACTTTTCCGGTGCTTCGACTCCATTGCCATATCTCTCATACTTTGTGGATATGATATCGAGAGCCGCCTCTTCCTCTTCCTGTCCACAATATATCACACCTAAGAGTCATATCATTATATTTATTATATATTATTATATCAACCAAATAGTCCTCTCTCTCTCTCTCTCTCTCT